AGCCAATCGACGTTGCACAAGCTGTCACCTGTGTGCCACGCCGAATTGGCTCCCCTCAGCACTTCCTGAGAAGTCCTCTGGGAGGCTGTAGCACTCAAGGCAGCCGAGAAACGACGCCGGAACATCGGACAGAACGCGGGTTACAGAAAGCTCAGGCACGTTAAGGAACAAGCAGACAAGAAGAGCAGAGGGTACCACTTTGGCTCGTTTGAGGGCCTCCAGAAGGTCATCGAAAGCAAAGCGGTCGTCTCTCTAGCAGCAAACTGCCGCCTGCACGGTTCATTCCCGACCGACCAGGTTAACTGCTGCGCGGCAGGAGTCGGGGACATGACGTCAGTGTGGACAGAGGCGGTGCGGAGCAGGGGAACAGGGAGTTCGGATCCAGCAGCGAGCAAGAGAAGGAACGTCGTGCCCTGCCTTTCCACGCCTGAGGAATCGCCACCCCCAGATTTTTTTTAAGAGAGGGCCGGGATTTTTTTTCTTTCTCTGTTCGAAAATCCAGCGCTGACCTGAAACCACCCCCGCCCACTGGGGAAAAGCGGACTCCACAGTTTCTAGAACCTACCCTTGAAATCTGCCGACGGACGGAAACACCTTGTGGGCTCCAGATTCTGGGAAATTCAAGTTTACTCGTACGCCTAAACGAGGCGGATGGCCCGATGCCATTTCTGCTTTTGTCATCTCAGCAGGAGAAGGAATTGGGTCTTTGAAAGGGACACTAAACAATTTTCGGAACTACCTCTGGATGTGGGGAAAACCCCAGATAAACATCAATGACAGTTTACCCATAATTTGCAGTTTGGTGTATATTCTGTATCCTCTGTTCTGGCTGCTGGCAGGAAATGTGCTAGAGGAAGGAAATTTGAGTCGCACAAACCTACAGACAGAATGCACTGGCAGTGTGGGCAAAGGTACCATGAAACACTCCTCTCGGGGCAACTCACACAGTGAGCCTTACTGTATTTTATTTTAATACAGCACATCTTATAAGCCAATGACAGGCCACCAACCATTAACATCTTCAGATTTTTAAAAACTGAAAATACCTTAAAGGGTAGTGTTAAGATGTCAGTACTGGCTTATTTCTCATGAAATTGCCAACAATGCTATTTTTAAAACGCAGGCCTGAGAGGAGAACGTTGTGGTACATTCATTACTTCTGTGAAGCACTGTGCACTCCAACATGTGCAACCTCATTTATCTTCCCACCTGACACTTCCTCTCCTTACGCTGAGAGATGCTATGCCCCTAACTAACAGTCGCCTACGCTGGGTGCACTCTACACATCCTGCAGGACAGGAAGTTCAGTATTAGCCAATGTCAGGAAGAGGCCTCATACATGTCACGCCCAGTCTGGCCAGCAGGGGTCAGCCACTACGACATTATAATTAGATAATGCAAAACAGGGTAGTATGGGGGTGAAAAACTGGCTATATGGCCTATAAAATAAAATCTAATTCAAGGAGTGGCCAAGAGGTGGCGCACAAGAGACAGGGGGTGGGGGTGGACGAATGCCCTCCTGCACAGGCATGGAGACGGATTTGGAGGGAGCCCCAAGATGCTGAAAGACCCCCCCCCTCCGGCTTTCGAAAAGGGATGCAAGTTGCTTTCCAGCTTCCTACCTGTCATGTGATCACAAGGTCAAGGGTCATGTGACCAATACATTACCCCCCCCCAGCTGATGCCACCACAGCCCTGCTTGCATCTTTGCCCATAACATCTTACACATATATTTATATATATATACATAAATATATAGACAGATCCACTGAGAATCAACACCATTGACGTTTCTAGGGATGTCCTGCAAAATATATGAGAATATATAAATACAAATCCCTATTGTCTATTTCTGCCCACATTTCACACATTTTTATTCCTTTTAAAAACCTATGTAGTTTCAATGCCTTCTAGAACCTTAAAAATACCTCCCCCCCCGGACAGAAACGCTAAGCTGTCTGTACAGGAACAACGAACACACACCTGCGTATGTACACCGCTCCTCGCTCGCACCCCCCACCTCACAATTCAAGCTTTTTCAATTACGAACAGAGAAGTTACTGGATCATCTGACTCAAGTTCACCTGATTTCAGCAGCCACGTGACACAATATAAACGTCTGAGCGAGGGGAGAGCTGCTCCAGCTACGGCACCGAGAGCCAAGAATTTCGCAAAAACTATTGCAGCAGCTGTTCCTTTCAGTTCTGGCGATTTTTCTTTTTTCTCCACCCCATAAAAAAAAACGTGACGAGGCTGGCGCATCGCGCCGCCCGCCTAGTGCGCTTTATATTGTATGTCACGGCTTGCTTCCCGTTTTCAGCATGGTTGTCGGGTTTCGCTGCGCCCCTCCCCAAAAACAAAACAAAACTGGAAGGGGATCAAATGTTCTACCGAAAATGTAGGGGGAAACAATATAGGATCCGTCGCGACTCGAGCGATTAGAAGTGGGCTTAGTCCTCTCTGTACCTCCACGGCCGGCACTTTGCAAACTGCCCGGCCGGGGTTTCTCCAGAGGGGCGGCTGCCGGTACGTCCGGGACTGCCTGAACTCACCCGGCTTGACCGCGGCGACAGGCGACAGGCGAGGCGCGCAGAAGCCGCCGCAGAGCTTTTCGACTTGTCGACCCACCGCGCAAGTTGTTGGGTTTTTTGTATTTATTTTGGAGCCGAAACACCGGCGAGTTAAGTGCAAGAGGCGAGACTGCAAAAGGGATCTCGGGTCCTCTCGTGCGGGGCTGCGAGCGCCTCCGGTGGGCGCGAGGGGGCGGGGGGGGGCTCGGGGTCTGGTTCGTGAGACGCGCGAGCCATCGCATCTATAAAAATAAACAAACAAAAAAAAACACGCGTGTCTACCCCTCCCACTGCCACGCCATCCCGTCTCCGCCCAGGAAAATCACGCGGGTCGGGCCGCCCTCTCGCGAAGACCCGAAACAGACCCGGAGGACCCTCTCGAGGAGCAAAACCGCCCCCCCTCCCCTCTCTAAACGCAGGCCGGGAGGCGCCCCGAGCGGCCTTCCGTCTCCACCGGGCCGGAAAACAC